AGAGATTAAAGTCTCTGTATCCAATCACAAGTTATTTCAATAATAAGAGTCTTTCTGTCTTTCATGAGGTTACAACACTGTTGTAGGAACTTTCTTCTATTCTAATAAACAGTCTATCCAAACACCTCTATATTTATACAGTGACCCTCTACATACTCTTTGCCTATTGTCAACAATCTACATAACTAACACACCTCAATATAATGTATTTACCCATCATACCTATTGTATGAAATATATACAGTTCACCATTGTAATATCACCATACATTTCACACGTCTATAATGAGATAGGTTAACCATTTTAAAAACATTACAGTACATTATACCTATCTACATTAACACTTTCAATAAGCAATGTATTATTTTGGTCTGGCCCTTATAATGAATAAGGTTGTTTTTCTTTTTCCTTCACCCAATTCCAATTCTCCTTCCCCTATTATTCAGTCTCAAATTACAACCGGCCAGTACACTTCTCACAGTACTACATTCTTTTGAAGTCTTTGACAGCATTACATAAGGTCCCTCCCAAGAAACCTCCAGTTTCTTCTTAGATCTTGGTTCTAAAACCAGGACCTTATCTCCCACATCAAAACATCTGTGTCTTGCGTGAAGATCCGCCTGTTCTTTCTGCTTCAGCTGGGCAGTTGACAAACTCTCTGCTGCACAGTCTCTCATGGTTGTCAAATGTCCCCGTAAGTCCTCGATGTAACTGTTGATATCAGTCTCTGGAATGTCCTCTGCTCCTGTCCATGCTTCCTTCAAAATGTCCATAGGTCCTCTTGGTGTTCTCCCATATAACAGTTCAAATGGGCTGAACTTGGTGCTGGCTTGTGGAACTTCCCGATAGGCAAACAAGAAGTGTTGTAGTTTCTTGTCCCAATCATTAGGGTTCTTGTGGACGTACGCCTTCAGCATGTGGTTGAGTGTACCGTTGAATCTTTCCATCAAGCCGTTGGTTTGAGGATGGTATGGAGTAGAAGTAAGATGCTTTATCTTGCAGGTCCGGAACATTTCTTGCATCAGCTGCGACATGAACGTAGCTCCAAGATCTGTAACGATAGATCTAGGAAAGCCCACGCGTGCAAATATATTGAGCAGCGCGTCTGCCACTGTTTTGGCGTCAGTTTCCTTTAATGGAATTGCCTCTGGGTATCGTGTGGCAAAGTCCACGGCAGTCAAGATGAATCTGTGCCCATCAAGTGTCTTGTGGGACATAGGGCCAATAATGTACACCCCGACCTTGTCGAAGGGAATAATGACAACTGGAATTGATTGTAACAGTCCTTTTGTCTTATCTTTGGCTTTTCCCACCATTTGACAAGTCTCACAGGTCTTACAATAGGTTGTCACATCACGTCCCATTCCTGGCCAAAAAAATCTAGCCTGGATGCGGTCTTTGGTCTTTTTAATACCCAGGTGTCCACTGAAGGTAGTATCATGGGCTAATTTGAGGATTTTAGCTCTATACTTTTGTGGCACTATCAGTTGTGTTCTTTCCTCAAAGAATTTGGGACTCTTTTGTCTCCTCACAACTCTGTACAATTTATTCTCCACAACTTTAAACAAAACTGGTTCTTCAATTGTGGGTGTGCGACTTTCTGGGACCACTTCATTCCATAAGGTTTTAAAGCTTTCATCATGTTGTTGGGCTGTTTCAAACTGTCTCATATGGCTCTGGTCTAAGCTGAAGGGAATTTCTTGGCTGTCATTTTCTGTTCGTGAGGTAGATGGTTGTTCCTCAGCAACACTGTATTCAACCTCCTCTTCTAGCTTAGCTTGGCTTCTGGTAATCATATTAACATGCCGACAGCGTTCAGCCAAATTGTTTCCCAACAATACTGGAACTTCTAAATCATTAAAAAGTCCCATTCTCCATTTTCCAGAGAAGTTCTTGTATTCTATTGGGATTTCAGCCACTGACACCTCAAATACAGGGCCATAAATTCCTCTCAATTTATACTTTTGGCCTGGAAGTATCTGGTCTTCCTTGACAAACTCCGGCCTAATGAGAGATACTTCGGACACAGTGTCTCTAAATCCCATTAGTTCTTGACCCTTTACTTTTATCACCTTCAAATAATCTCCATTTGTCTCTTTTTCAGTACTCCATACTCGCATTATCTTTACAGGTTCCTCCTGTGCGTGTGGAGACTGATTTTCTTTGTGTGGAGATATTTGTTTAACCACTTTAACTGGCTTTGGTGGTGTAATTGGCCTTTTCTGGGTGTTTAATTTAGGGCAAGCCGTTTTCTTATGACCCTCTTGATGGCAGAAGTAACAGACAATTTTTCCTGTGGCAATCTCTGAAATGGCGTCCCTCCTGACAGGATTTTGGCTTCCCACGTCGGTTTTCTCTTTTGGGACCCATTCCCTCGGTCTCTTGGTGGCTCCTGAGCTATGACTCACATTCCAGTCATGCTCCATCTCATCCAACCAAGCCGCGAGATCTGACACTTGTTTAATCTTCTTGTCTTTAACGAACCACCTCATTTGTATGGGGATCAGCCGATAAAACTGTTCCATACAAACTAAATGCTTTAACTCTTCGAAAGTGGTCGTTTTACTTCCCTCAAGCCATCTCTCTAAGGCTTTCTCTACTCGGCTTCCTAATTGTGAAAAGGTTTCTCCTGGCTTTCTTTTGATCTCCCTGAACGTTTTTCTGCTCTGTTCAGGCGTCAAGCCAAACCTCAGCTTAACCCTTTCTTTAAATGAGGTAATTCGCACTTTCTGACTCTAAGATCAGCGTAAACCTCACTAAGTTGCCCACAAAGTAGTGGTCTCAGGTACACCATCATTTTGGCTTCAGGTACCTCAAAATCATGGCAAGCTCGTTCAAAACTGGCCAAAAATGACTCTACACAATCCCCTTTTACATATGGAGGAAAGTTCTTTAAAACCCTTTGCATATTAGAGTCATGCTGTTGGTTTAAGTTAGGAGTTCTCTCACTCTCTCTCAATTGTAATTCTGCCATTCTCTCCTCATGTCTTAAACGTTCTCTTTCTCTCTCCATCTGCATCTTTTCTCTTTCCAACTCAATCATTCTTTCTTTCTCCCTCTCTTGTATCTTTTCTCTTTCTCTCTCAGCCTGAAACTCAAGTTCTCTCAACCTCATTTCTAATCTAAGCTTTTCAATTGTCAAAGAGGTAGCTATTTGTTCTTGTCTACTCTCTTGTACTTGGGTCTCAGTTTCCTCAACTGCTTCTGTAGCCCCTTCTTTTTCTGGTTCTTCAGAAGTACCCTTCTTTGCTTTAGGCGGTGCCATTTTGCTTAATGTATATCAAAATGGCGCTAGAGATGTCCTTTCTCTGAGGTAATTTTTAAGTGTCACGATTTGGCAAAAATTTACCTCAGGATTATAAAAAAATGTGCTGGATTGAGATGTTACACGATCCACACCGCTGCAAACCAATATAAAGAATATGGCTTCGAGGAGATCAATCAAGATCAGATCCCACTCCGCTGTATACCAATTATAAAGATGGGGATATACAATAATCAATCCCACATCCCTGGAAACAATTATGATGTTT